GCCCAGCCCCCCTCCCGGCAGGTGATCCTTTCCTGCAGGTTTTCGGCCTCGGCACCGGCGGCCCCGGGCGCGCGGCAGCGCTGCGGGCTGAGCTGCTCCGGGAGGCCCGGACACACTCCCTGAAGTTCTTGAGGGCGATCTGCCTCTGCAGCCGCAGCACCTCCCGCTGGGACTCCCGCAACAGGCGATGGAACTCGGTGACGTTCAGGCAGCGAGGGTCACCCTGTGGGACAGGCAGGCAGGGCGCTGTCACTGACAGGCTCCCAAAGGTGGTCAGGGGGTGATTGAACATGCACACCCCAAAGCCAGGAAGGGAGGCACACACGGATTTGTGTTTCCTGGGTCTCCAAAGCAGTCACTTCGCATTCCTTAAGCAAATATGTTATTCCCCCCGCGGATGAAATGCAGCCGGTAATGCTCCTGCAGCTCTCCCAGCACAAAGAAAAAGGGCTTTCCTGAGCCTGTGCTTTCTCAAGGTTTGCCAGCAGAGAGCGTGTCAGGATAATACCATCTCACTGGCCAGCCGAGCGAGAGCCTTGGCTGATTTACCTCCTTGGTGTGCGTGCTGGCACTCTGCAGCATTAACCAGGCTTTACATGCTGGAAGGAATGAAGAACATCTGGGATTTGTTCAGTTCTCACTCAGGATAATGTTTGGTTTTCTTGATTTCTAAGCTCTTCAGAGACAGTTTGTGTGGATGGACCCACGTTTTTAGCACAAGGAGTCACTCCCATCCGCTCCAGACCCAAACCCACCAACTTCTGGTGGAAACCAGTGCAATGTTAGTCTCACAAAAAATGGGGAGAATATGTCACCAGCTTGTTTTAATTCTTCAAAGGTTTTCAGATTTCAGGAAGCTGAAGAAACATGTACCTGCATGCCCACACAGATGTACAAAAGCTGGTTATGAAAACCTGCCTTTACAAATATGCTGCTGGAGGAGACATTGCTCATTCCTCTGGAAAGCCCCTAAGCATAATTGGTATCCAGGAAAAATTTAATCTGCTACTCCATTCACTTATTTGCCCTAAAAATAGTGTGGACTTTATAAACAGAACTTGTGTAGAAAACCATGGTTATTCTCATGCTACAAGGGGAAACTGAGGCAGCATTAATGAGAACTGATTAGAGATTCAAGAAGTGAGCAGCTGGGCCTCCTGTGTGCTGATGAGGGTAGTAGTTGTTTAAACAAAATTGGTTGCAGCTCTGTATAAAATCTCCCTTCCCCTACCAAAAAGCCAGCCAAGAAGCCTGGGGGAACAAGGGAATAAGAACAGAGCTCAGGCCTCCACTCAGCTGCTTTAATGCACATCCCCTGCAGCTGCTTTGCTCTTCCCTGCAATCCCCCACGTCGAAGAATCCATGCTGCAAAAAAAATTTCAGTCTGGTTTTAGCCAGAGCTGGGGTTTGGTTGGAAGCCCATCACCAGAGCATAATCTCAGGAAATCACTTTCTCCTCTCCTAAGAGTCCTGATGCTGCAAACAAGGCTAATGCTTTTGCAGCCTGGTATGCAGCATGTCCATCCTGGAGTGTCTCAGTAGATCCATTTCATAGCTAGTGAAAATTTGTGCTGATTTAAATACCCTAGATTAAAATTTATTTGGTTACAAACTCTCTGTGCACATAATATCTCTGCATATAAACCCCTTCACTGATATAATGCATTTTGCATGCTGCAGACAGGTTATGTGAATTTTGAATTTTAAGTAGCTGAAAATTAAAATTTAATGAGCACCTCACTTGGAAGAGAAATGGGAAAAACAAGACCAGATAGAATGATCTCTTCTTTTCCTCTCTTCTTTGCAGGTTCCCTGCCTTACTGGTGCCTCAGCAGTTACAGTCTCACCTGCTGACCCACGCTCCTGCCCAAGGAAGGCAGCAGCTGAATTCATCAGCCCCAAGGACTGCACCTATATGGATTTCCTTGGCCAGTAATGAATCTAGCTCACCTGCCTTTGTCACATTCCTCTACAATTTATCACTCTCCTGTCCTTGGCAAATACACCTTGCCCAGCCTGCTCTGCTAGGAAAATCAGGCTGCTCAGTCTGTTCCCACCTCTGGGGGCTTGGGGGTGAGAAATCAAGGGGACAGGAAGGGAGTTTCTTCTTGGTGACACCACAGAGCACAGGGGGACCTGGGTAACTTTCTCTTGTGGTTTAATGCTAGGAGGGATCAGTGAAGCAGCCTGTACAAACAGCAAACACCCCATTGTTTTAGTCCTGGTGAGATCTATAGTAGGGATAGACTGAGAATCTGCCTTCAAACCCATAATGAAAATGAACACATGGGGAGGCCAGGGCCGGAAATCAAGCTGCTTTCAGCAAGAAAGTATTTGGCATCTAAGTGGGGTAGGTAGAAATTAGGGTTGCACTTGACCACATCTGCATTAGCAAAATGAGGGGAACACAGCATGAGCCTTAGTGTTACTGACCTTCTCCTGGGAGTTTATTAACTGACCTAAACTGAAAAGCTCCAGCTTATGAACAAAAGATGTATCTAATATGCCCAGAACAGGTTGCTTTAGTCACCTGGAGTGGGAATCATTTCACCTAGCTTCAGATGTCCTTTTAGGCTCCTTTTAAAATCATCACAGAGAAGCAGTGCTTTGAGGGAACAACACATCCAGGCAGTTTTAGACATCTGTCTTGGGATGAATCGAATCCCTTTTATCCTATCATCTATATCAGCAAGTTCAGTGCTGGTGCTGAGGGAAAGGTAGGTCACCAGCCCAAATGCAGGCATCATGGTTGTAGATGGTTTCATGAACACCCACCCCTGTCTAATGTTTTGTATCCTTAATCAGAGTCATAGAAGGATAAACCCAGTTATCTCCAGTCTTGTGGGGGCTGTGAGCACTCAGAAAGCTGCAGCCCAAGCCAGGGGATTTAGACTGGTTCTTGGGAACATGCTTAGCTGGTTTAGTTTCTAAAAAAAACACATTATAAGGAGGTCCTGCTTCTACGTCCTGCTTGAAGCTTAGTATTGTGAAAGGTCATGCTGTATTTGTGGCTTCTCGGGGTTTTCCAGAGGGAGAGTTTTAGTCACTGCTGAAAATGGCAGCTCAGACCCACAGATTTACAGAGGGACATCTGGGGTGTCTCCCAACACACTGTTCTGGAGGGGTTCAGACACTGTCTCTGCCACACACTCACCCAAATGTCCCCCACCCAAATCACACATCAAATGCCCTGTTTTCAGTCTGCACTTGGGACTTACTGCCCTCACACAGCTTCCCAGAGCCTGGCTCCTATCACTGTTGTTGCAGCCACTGAGTGATGTCCCAGAAAGTGTCTCACCTTCCCTGCGATGAGTTTAGCCTGCAGCTCCCGGCACTCCTGCTGCAGAGCTTCGATCTGCTTATCTTTTTCCAGGAGAGCACTGGCTTGTTCTGTCAGGTCCTTGGCACGCTGGCGGGCAAATGCTTTTTTACACAGCTCCAGGCTGGAGCCCTTCAGAGGCACTGGAGCAGCCACCTACACCAGAGAGAGCAGCAAGGGGGAAAGCCACGTGCATTGTTGTTCATTAACCATCACCCCAACAGCCTTCAAACAGAGAGCGCTGCCAAGAGATGCAGTTGAACCCCAAAGGATGGACAAGCAGAGAGTGTAATATGACAGATGTATGAAAAAGTGGGAAGAAACTGGAAGGGCTGGATGGAAGCATGGATCAGAGAAGAGGTGGGAAGGCGAAGGTGCTCGGCAGATGAGGCCAGTGGGTATAGTCAGCACGGGGGGCTGTGGTCAGGGCAACGAGAAGATAATAAAACACAACAGAGGTAGAAAGACAAAAGGAGGCAGCAGAGAGGAGGGGAAGATGGCAGGAAAGATGAGCATGGGAGCAAGGATGGAGGTTGCCAAACCAGGAAGAGAAGTGGTGCTTCCATGGGTTCCTAGGCAGAAGAAAGAAGGTTTCAGCAAGAAGGGTGCAAGATACAGGCAAAGGGAGAGGCAAGAGAGAGCCCAGCATGGGCCAGCACTGGGAGAGGTTCAGGAGGAGAAACAGTTCAGGTTTCCCTGCTCCCTGTTGAGGGAGAAAAGAGCACAGTGGGTTTGGCAGTGTGCTACAGTGGGAGCAGGATACAAGGACAGGCAGCTGGCTGGGGAGCAGCTCTGGGCCAAGGACCCAGGCAGGAGCTGAGACTGCCCAGCTGTAGTGTCCTGGGATGCTCTCAACGTGTTCCCTGTCCCTGGGACCACGTATCCTGCTGGGTATCAGCACCACAGAGCTGGATGAAAGGGCTGCTCATGTCCACTGCTCATCACAACCCTCTGGCCAGTGAGGCCACATCCAGTCCCTGGATTTGTGAAACCCTGTCTCTCCCTGTCCAGCTATTTTTGCTGCACAAAGCCTGACAGTTTGGTGAGGGGGGAACTCTCTCCCCGATATGGAACATGACATCCTCTCTGCAAAAGTTTCCTCTCCAGGTCTAACCATCTCACCCACATGCAGAAGCTGCATGCAATCACTGCCAGATTCACCTCAGCTCCTCACAGGTCCTGTCTGGGTCATGCAGCTGCCTGATCCTACCTCCAGCCCACCCTCCATAAGCCTCAGCCATCCAAGCACTTTCTGCTCTTGGGAAACCTGGGCCAGCCCAGGAGCCCAGCAAGTTGGTTCTCCCAAGGCTTGAACAGGTCTTATGCTGTCACCACCCCAAAGTTTCACCCAGGGAAAAAAAATCAACACAACAGTATCTGTGTAGTTGCTGGAGGATCTGCACTGCTGTTGAATGTATGAATGATTTCTCTCAACATAGTACCTGACAGTCCATCTGGCAGCAAATGTTGGTCTGCAAGTACCAATACCTGTGACAGATGGCAGCATGTGTCCTGGGGACAGAGAGAGCAGGCAGTGCCAGGAAACCCCCCCACTTTCTCTTCAGTGAATTTCTCACTTCCTCGTTTCCATCCTAAAGGGTCTGAATTCCCCATCACAATCCCTGGTTCCCTTCCAAAGGAAGTTTTTCATTACTGCAACTAGTAAGCTCATGAAAGTGCTTTTGCCCAAGATTCCCCATCCTAAAGCTACTTCCCACCACTCCAGCACCCTGTCAGATACCACAGGGTTTGCAAGAAGCTGCTGTTAGTTTGGAGAAAGCAAAAAGCATGGGGCTTGCACAGCAAGGGAAGCGAGGTGAGGATGGGGCTGAGCAGTCTCTCACCCCTTCCTGTTTTGCTTTACCGCAAGCACTCCTTTTCTTATTCAAATACTTCCTGTTTCTTGTCGGTGAAGTCAGATGAATTCTTTTCACAACTTGCCCAGGGAGAGCTGAGCTAATTACTTTAATACCTTAAGGTAGATCAGCACATTTACAGCAAGAAACAGAGCAGGAGGAAACTGCTCAAAGCCAGCTCCTCACACATGAGCAGAAGCTGGTGCTGGCTGGGTTTCACAGAATCCCAGAATGTTTGGGGTTAGAAGGGACCTCTGGAGATCATCTAGTCCAACCCTTCTGCCAGAGCAGGTTCACCCAGAGCAGGGTGCACAAGATGGTGTCCAGGTGGGTTTGGAATGGCTCTAGAGAAGGAGCCTTCACAGCCTCTCTGGGCAGCCTGTCCCAGGGCTCTCACCCTCACAGTGAAGCAGTTTTTCCTGATGTTTAGGTCGAACCTCTTGTGTTCCAGCTTGTGCCCATTGCCCCTTGTCCTGTCACTGGGAACTACTGAAAAGAGTCTGGCCCAATCTCCTGACACTCCCTGTAGATGTTTATAAGAATTGATGAGATCCTCCCTCACCCTCCTCTTCTCCAGGCTGACCAGGCCCAGCTCTCTCACCCTTTCCTCATAGGGCAGATGCTCCATCCCCTCATCACCTCAGTGGCCTGTGCTGGACTCTCGTCCAGGAGTTCCTTGTCCTTCATGAACTGAGGAGCCCAGAACTGGATGCAGTATTCCAGGTGGGGCTTCACCAGGGCAGAGTAGAGGTGGAGGATGACCTCTCTTGACCTGCTGGCCACACTCTTCTTAATGCAGCCCAGGATGCCACTGGCATTGTGGGCCACACAGGTCCATTGCTGGCTCATGGTCATCCTGCTGCCCACCAGGACTCCCAGGCCTTTTTTGCACAGGGTTGCTTTCTAGCAGTTCAGCCCCTAACCTGCCCTGGTGCACAGGATTCTTCCTCCCCAGGTGCAGGACCATACATTTGCCCTTGTTGAAACTTATTAGGTTCCTCTCAGCCCAGCTCTCCAGCCTGTTTTGTGATTCTTGCTCTGCTTCTGGTGTGTGAAGCATGGTTGCTACAGGTTTAAGAAAAGGGGAAATAAAAGCCCTTTCTAGCTCAACAGAAGTAGCAAGCAGGAAGTCCTGGCACTGAGGTGCTCTCCTAGCTGAGCTTCCCCTCTGCCCAGTGGAGCCCTGCAATGGTAAGCCTCCATACTCACCACTTTAAGATTTGCCTCCTGGAGCTTCTGGGCTCTCTCCTCCAGGCGCTTGGCGATCACTGCCAGCTCTGCGTTCTTCTTCTTCAGGTGCTTCACCTTCTCCTCTGTCTGTGGGAAGCAGCTTCTGCGCTAGAGAATGCAAGGAGAGGGTGGAGGTAAAGCCCATGCTCAACCCAAAGCTGTACCCTGGGGGTGTCAGGGCAGCTGAGGTCCCCAGCACTGCCTAACCTGCTCTGGGCCCATAAATGTCCCAACTACTAAACACTGAGCTCTGCTCTTGTTGCCTCTCCAGTCACGGAAACCTGTGTTTTTCCCAGTATTTTTATTCATGTGACCTTTTGGTCCCCATTAAATGCCCCATGTCCACCCCAGGCTACCCCATGTGGTCCCTCTCCATCCACAGCACGCTCGTTGCAGGCTCTGCCTTTGCTGGCTGGGACTCAGTGCATCTCTAGCATCAGTGTGGCCTGGCTTGCCCACCCTTTGGGCTTTCTCTTCCAAAGTCTCCCCAGTTTCTTTCCCTGGGGCTACAGGACTCAACGCACCACTGTGGATTTTTGCTGCACTGCCACTGCAAGCTTTGACATAGTCCTTTGTCTCATGACACTGAGCTGGGGAGAACAGGGAGAAAGTGGCACAGGATTTTATAATGTTTGCAAAGCAAATTTCCGTTTTTCTTCCAATTGATTCTGTTTGCTCTCAGTCCCCTTTTATTTCTTATCTGTCCATTTGGATAAGCCACTGCTTGCTGATGCCTTGCTCTCTCAAGGTTGGACCCACATGTGTTCTGATGTCTTTTCACATCAGCAAAAACATCAGAGCAGATGATCATTCCAGTTATTTTCCTCCCTACCCCTCCAAGATCCCACCATGGGCACTTGCTGCTTTCACAGCTTTTCTTCAGCA